AGGAAAATCGATACAGGCAAGAATTTGATTAGTTCTTGCTTAGGGTTAGAAGTGGGAGAGAATGGGATGTGACAGCTAGTGGTTTCTTTTAGGGAAGATGAAAAAATTCCATTGTTAGATTGTGATGATAATTATACCATCTCGTAAATGTACATGGCATTATATACTTAAAATTGGTGAATTTTATGGTATGTAAATTATACATTAATAAAGCTGTTTTTACAACCAAAAACCAAACCAAACCAACCAAACAAAAAAACTGTCTGTGACCTTGACTCATCTAGAATCTGAGGACATCTTCTTTGATCTCAAATACCCTTGAAAAAGGGTTATCTTTTGTATTGCTTTCCATGTTATACTCTTTCCATTTTTAGATTTTACACATTTAATTTTTTTTTCCCCTATTTATCTTAACTGTGTCTAAGGAGCCATAATATTCTGAGTACTAGCCAGTGGATTCACACAGTTGAAACTTCACCTTCCTTTCATCATGTGACAGCCTTCAAATTGTCTCCTTTCCCAAATTCCTACAGCAACCCCCACAACTCCCATGGCATGGTAAGTCCTCTCACCAGAACAGCAGTTCTCTTCTGAAGTAAGCCCTTTTTAAAAATTAACTATTCATTTGAAATCGAACTAATTTTGTGGATGTATTAAATGGGCCTATTGCTACTGTTGTTTCATGTACTAAACTTCAAGTAAATATTTTACCTTTACTGGACCACTTCATTCAGAGATGAACATTTAACTGTGGATTAGATGACTGTACCCTCTTGAAAAGATTTTACATGAGCAGACTGAGAAATAATTTGGAACAGAAAACCCTTTTCTTTGCCCCTAAAATCTTAAAGCATTAATGGTCTAATCATTGTATTGTATTTCTTTTACTTTGAAAAGGTCAGGTACTTAAATGAGAGCTAACATTTCTGATAAGATTGTTGATTAACTGTAAACCCATGTCGATGTTCCATAAAACCTGGACTTTAAAGAGTTAGACTGTATACCACATACTGTTCCTGCTGGTACCAAGGAATCAATCATAAATTATTCTCAATAAACTCCTTTCTGTGTGTTATATGACCTTGGAATGTTGTTTGTAGCATCTCATTATTTATCATATTATATTTAATGAACTATAAGATAAAAATTTTAGATAATGAATTTTTAGATAAATAAATAAGTTTTTAGGTAACATTACTTAGTATTTCTTTGTGTAAAGCTTAAAACAGAATTTATTATTTGCATGACATAGATTTGCATTTCAAATTATTTATCTGTTCTTAATATATTTTACCCATTATTGCAACATACAATATTTGCACAGAGCCAGTACAGAAATCTTGGAATCATAAGACTATGGATTATCAGTGGTGTATCTAACATTCAATTTTTATTTTAAATTTATTTTATTGAATTCCTTTTCCTTCTCCATTTCCATCTAATTTGCATGACCTATCAGAAAAAAAATTATGTAATGCTGCCTCTTCCATTAAAAAGAAAAAAAGAAAATCGATTTCATAAAACATTGAACATTTCCATTTGGAAATTTGTGTTACCATGTTCTTTCAAGTTACAAAATCAGGTAGTATGTTCCCATAAAATTTTTAAAATAAGAAAAGGCTATCCAGAAATATAATAGAAGATGATTTTCTTCCCATAAGTTGTTTAGTCTTTATTACTAGGCTAACATTATTGACATCTGACACTGGCCATTCCTCAGTTCAAAAGTGAAAAGCTTCTTAGAAAGCAAAACCGTTCCTCCATTTTAATTCCCTAAAGAGTTTATTCCTTTGGGCAAAATAGTCATGTGGAGCACCTGTGGTGCAAGTGCTAAAGAAATATCAAGCAAAACCCAGCCACAGCTGTGCTGTAATCATTGAAGTGTGCCCAGTGCATAATGGCACATTAGGTAGGCATTGATCTCTGCCAGTTTATGAGGTCTCTTACAGAATTAGGCAGACTTTTTCACTGAAACCCATGGAGCAGAAATTGCTACTTCTAAGCTAATCCATTTTCAAATTACCAACCAATTGTGACTGATGACCTCACTACAAATCCGCTTATCTACCTCTAACCACTCAACAAGCAAGGGAGAATAAATCATTATTTCCCTCTATTTTCAAATCTTTACAAAAGAAAACTCTTCTTGCCATTCTTAATCACCTTCAGTGCCACTGCAGCTGTGAAGATAAGCATGATAAATGTTAAATGCTGCCTAATTGTCAGCGCTTATTTGTAAGGAAAATGAGAAGGCAGAATATCTACTTACTATGATACATGGTTTTATTAAGATTTAGTTTAAAAATTTCTGCTAAGCATTATTACTAATTTTATGTATTTATTAAAATAATTTATTCAGAATTGAGTGATATTGAATACTTGATTTAAAAAAAACCTATTAACACATTATGCAACCATTTCTTGGTGTAAACCTTGGGTCCAGTTTAATCACCTGAGTAGATAAAATTCAAAACATGTAAGAGAGGAGCCGTATTCTGAAAATAGAAGCAATGCTCAATACCTTTGTTAATTGAAGTCAATACTATGTAAAAATCTGTAGGAGGTAGAAAATGCACAAATTAGGGTTGGCCAAAACCTATTCCTAAACTCTCCCCAACAAACTTTACCACAGAAGGTAACATTAGTGATGTTATGGTCCACAAAACTTGATAGTTTCAAGAATGTGTACGGAAAGAATGTAATAAAATAATGCTGACTTGCATTTCTTTCTATTAGAAATTATATTTTATTTTACATTTCATAGCCTTAGGACATATATTAAATCAATATTTTAATATACTTTATAGGTTATTTATGTTGTGAAAAATATATTGCCCTATTCTCTGAAAGATTTTCATGTTGCCCATGTAGATGAGGCCTAAATGGCAAATATATTAATATATGTATAAGAAATTCATTTACATGTTTATTGCATTACATTATATAGACGTAGAAATTTAAAAACAGTTCTAGCAAAATTGTAGAATTTCTGTTTACAAATTCACTGGACAAAGCACTAGTTATAAAAACTTAGTCTTTGCAGTGTGACGGATAAGGAAGAAAAATCATTACTTCTATGTCTATATTTAAAGCACATTTTAAAAAATGTTTCTAACTTGAACTTAATTAAAATTCAAAGATCTGGACCAATCATTGCTGTGAAGCATCAGCCTAGCTGTTTTATCCATACCGTATGCCATAGACTGACATAAATCCTATTCAGAGTCAGTTAGTAACACTTTGTTTTTTTGAAAGAATAGCTTCTCAATGGAGTTAGAATTGCTCTCTCATATTTGCCTTTTGATTGATGTAACTATGTCAGAGTTTCTTTCTGAACATGAATCAATAATTTTTTTTGTATTTGGCATGTAGTCTAGGGCAAGTCCTTTGTAAAGCAGGACAATATTATCTACTCCAACCTACTTACTGATAGGCATGAGAAAAGGTATCAAATTAACTTTCAGATGCAAAAAATATAACAATTACATATTTTGTTAGAAATCTTAAGTTTAAAAACAACATTAAATTCTTAATTATCTATACAAGTGGATGGGGAGAAGTCACAGTTCCATAACTTACAAACATTAGTAATAAAAAATACTTCAAGTTCATTCCTGTCATTACTTTACAACATTTATGTTTTTGTTACAATTAATATTTTCAAGCAAAATCATAATAGGTTTACCTAAATTAGTCAAAATATAAGAATCTGTGTAAGGGGAAACATGAACAACAATCCATATATGAACTGCATTTCTTATGCTATAGGTTTCTAAGGTTAATAACAGCCTTTTCCGTATCCTTCCTCACACAGATGAAAAGATGTGTATACCTATATATCATACACAATGAGTTTTATGTTATTTGTTTAAAAAACAGTATTACAGTGTCACAATAAAAACACTGGGAAAAATGACTTTTTCACAAAACATGTCAAAAGAAAGCCTCCAGTCAAATGTATGAATCTGACCAACACTTTTAATCAAGGTAAAATATTCAATAATATGGATCAAAACCATAATATTTAACTTTTCCCCAGTGATGAACATTTTGGATATTTTTGGAGGGTTTTTTTTTTTTTTACTTTTCTCCTTGTTTATTTGTCTTGCTAGTTAGTTACTATTTTATTAAGATTATACGTGTTTATTTTAGTAGATATTCCTTTGCATGAATTAATAGTAATTTTGGATTTTTACAAGCCATGAGTGTGCCTACTTCCTGGCACCCTAGGAAACACTGACTGGCATCCCCACTTTTAATTTTCACTGACCTGAAGGAAGGAAAACAGTATCTCATCGCTGCTGTAATTGGCAGTTTCCTACTAGTAAGCTTTAGAACCTTTCATATGTTTGCTCCATATTTTAGCCTGGCTTGCAATAATCCCTTATTTATATGATTTGCCCAGTTTTATATTAGGTTATTTGTCCATATTTATCACCATAATAAAATAAATTAAATTCCTATATTCTTCTCATGGGAGTTATACGAAGGCTAAATGAAGACTGAGAAGTGGGCACTCTGCCATTTTAGCACTTAACATATTTCACTGAAAAGTTTACTATATTGCTCTCATGATGGCATTTTTTTTGATTGTAGGAAATTTACTTTTACTCCTCTTTTACTCCAATAATTTGTAATAATACTTGTAATACTCTAAATATTCAGAAAATAAAGGTTGAACTGGTAAAATGGTGAGAATACATCTTCAATCGAACTGTCAGATACTTTGATTAAGCTGCGAGTGCAGGAATCACATCTCAGACATACGTGTCCCCCCACAGAAAGTTGTTCAGAAAATACTACTGAGTTAATTGTAATTGGTTTCTCAATCTTGAAATCTTTTTCCTAACCTTCCCAATTCCTCCCTGGAAGTAACAATAGGTCAGCTTCAAGTTTAAATATGTGAGCTGAGAATGCTGGGGGCCCTTCTTTCCTGCTGCTCTCTGTAGAACATTTATACAGTAAAAAGGTTTTATGTTAATTTTTCTTAGGTTCCTTACTTTTAGTATTATGTTCATTCCATCCAAACTTGGCAATTGAAGACTGTGTGGAATTTCAACTAACACATCTCAGATGTGCATGATCTCAGCCTGTGGGATATAAAAGGATTTGATTTAGAAGGTAACTCCGTCCAACTTTGTAGTCTAGACTAGCAATTGGTCTAGAATATTTCTATAAGACAATGGTCTCTTGGTTCAAAATAGACATTAATCAAAATGCTGACAGTATCATTTTGTTGTTAAATGAGTGACATTAGATTCATTATTTTTTTGGATATCCTTGCATTAAGTCAACCAGGCTGTAGAGGTAAAGATTTCTGTCACTCACAAAATGTGAATGTTGCAATTTATCTTTTGCTTGGGGCAAAATTTTTCAAAAGAATACATTTTTAAATTTGGAAAATATCTGAAATGAAATCCACATGTTTGCAGTCGGAAAACTGTCTTTGTAGGTCTCAAAATTAGGTTTCCAAAACTAAGCTTTCTATCAACTGTGTGATTTGGGACAAATCATCTTGCCTTTCTTTTTTTTTCAGTCATTTCATCCTTATACTTAAGTAAATTATGCAGAACAATCTATAAAATCGATTCCAAGTTTAATTTTGCTGTCTTCGGTTTTAAAAAAAGCAACTGATAAGTTAACAAATTTGTAACTATGCCCTCTAATATTCAAGTCAAAGTTTAAAACATGATTTTTTTTCCACTACATTTTGTACATCTTCTTGGTTGCACTTTACTCTCAGTTATAATAAAATACTTTCATTATGATTCTGAAAATAAATAAACCAATATATTGAGGGTAATGATTGTAAAATATTTTGATAACATATTACCATGTCTGGATTTGACAACTCAAGTTACATCTATACATCCACAATTCAAAGCCACTTTTACAATACATTACTCATATTGTGTTAGAAGCAGCAAGAAACCATGAAAATAATTCAGCAAAATACATCATATTTAGATGTAAGCTTATTTAATCAAGTTACTAACTGAGCAACTACAAGAAATAAAACAGTACATAGAAAGAGATTTAAAATTACTGACTTAAAAGAAAATGTAATATACAGAAGACCTGTCTTAAGAAACAAGTATACTCCCACTTCAGCTACCCTAGTAGCTGGGATTATCGTAAAATATGAAGGTATTTTATTTTATTTTATTTTATTTTATTTTATTTTATTTTATTTTATTTTATTTTTTTTGGTGGTGGTGCTATTTAGCTAAGATATGAAGGTTTGTATAGAGTTAGCTAGATTAGAGGATGAGATTAAAATTAGGCACTTTGACAGACCAATCATATGATGTAATTCTATCAAAATGGCCACTTCACATATGCACCCTCTTTTTAATCATAAATTTGAGCAACATACTCATCTACTAGTTTATAAGTTACATGAGATGCATGGTAAGAGGTGGAAGGATGTTTGTTTTACATATTATCCAGTAATAAAAATTTAAATTCCTCATTTCATCAGGTCTCATTGCTTTCTTGGATGAATCGATAGCAGAGTGGCAAGCCTATGGAGCAAGTTAGAGTAGTGTTGCTTTAGAGGGGCTTCTTTACCACTTAAAAAAGAAATTTGGGATGTTATTTAAATTTATTATAAAACTGCAATTGATTTTTTTCTAATGGTATAAACAACTAGAATCTAGATGTCCTGAAACATTTTTATGATTGCATATGCTTTTATTTTACTCATCTTTGTATCTCCATACTCTTTGTGATAGCTTTTAAATCAATATCCAAGGGAAATTTCATATTGTGAGTAGCAAATTCTACAACACGTTAGGGGAACAATCTTTTTAAATGCCATTATTATTTTATAAAAAAATGTTTTTAATGGCAAAATTCCAATCAAAATGTCATATATCGATGAAATGATAACATATTTAAAGGTTGAAAACCACTTCAAATTATGTGAATTTTGACATAGTATTCAGGAAGATAGCTTTTTTAAAACAGTTTGGTGTTCTTTTCTGAGATTTATTTTTATTTTTATTTTGGGGATGGAGTTTCGATCTTGTTGCCCAGACTGGAGTACAATGGCGCGATCTCAGCTCACTGCAACCTCTGCCTACCAGGTTCAAGCTATTCTCCAGCCTCAGCCTGCCGAGTAGCTGGGATTACAGGCATGCGCCATCACACCCAGCTAATTTTGCATTTTCAGTAGAGATGGAGTTTCACTATGTTGATCAGGCTGCTCTCAAACTCCTGACCTCAGGTGATCTGCCAGCCTCGTCCCCCCAAAGTACTGGGATTACAGGTGTGAGTCACCGAGCCCAGTGGAGATTTTTAATCACACTTGATAAAGCACTACTTAAAATATAGACGGTTAAGTAATTTTATCTGAACTTCTCTGTTCTGATTGAAAAATAATTCCATAATTTGATCTTATTTTTTTTGACTTCACAATTGTAGAAACCAAACAGAATTGTCCTTAACAAAGAAAGCTCAAGGGCACTTGCAAAGATGTATTTAGAGTAAAATGAGACAAAATTCCCTATAACTTTGAGGGTCTACTTTTCAACTTTTGTAGTATAGATGAAAATAAATTGTTCCAGAATAACAATCAAAATACCTAATCTACATAGATCTATGTGCAATGATCTACAAGTCTCACTTTTGTTAATGCCCTGCTGCTCTATAATAACTTCTTCACCTTTGTTATTGTAAGTTCTGGCTAACTGTTGGTTACATTTCCACTAAGGAAGAGGGAGTGGGACAGTTTTCAGAGCAACTGTCTCATACCTCAGGCAAATTCCCAATGACTGTGGGTAGCACTCCTAGACATAAATTGTTGCAAAGTCCAGTTGTAGCTCAACAGGGATTTAGTTTTAATGAAACCCAGATGAGCTGCAACTGTATTTCAGTCTATACTCCCACTTCAGCTCTAGTCAATTACCTATGGTAATAGGAGGACAGAAATAACATGAGTAATGGAATCTGCAGATAATCCCAAAGCATTATTTTAGCCAATAATTCCCAATCTCTCCTGTATTAAACCTCTTACTAAAACTTCTTAGCATGTATTAAAATGGACAGATGTGAATCTTTGTCTCTTCCTATGGTAAAGATGCCAATAAATTATAAAATGATCCTAAAAATATGGCCACAAAGGAGGGAGAACTGATTAATTACTGGCATTGTAGATATTTATTTTTGAGAACCTCAGGAAATTATTTCTTCTGCCTATCAAACCTATGGAAACATATTGCCATCATTCATAATAACATTTGAGTTAAATAAACCTATGTAAAATTATGTAATTATTTATTAAGAGCATAATATGAATTCTAATTAAACCAGACAGATTAAGCACAAAAGTCAACCTCCCCTCCTTTTCTTAACCCCAGGAAAAGCATAGCAGAGAATTAAAACAAACAAACAAATATATTCATCCATTAAGACAAGGGGGAAAGATAAAGTGACCACCTCAACATAAGATTTCAAGGAACTGGGGGAATAATGAATTCACGTAAAATTTATTAACTTAGCAAATGGGAGTTAGAGACCTCTCACGATAAGCAAGCCCATTCACTCTAAGGAAACTGGGAGATGATCAGCATTTATGGCATACTCTACGAGAAGAAGAGATGAGGAGGCAATAGTTGCCTACATCTTGTTCCAAAAATATCAGTAATCAGCAGATATTTCTCCTTTGTCAACTATTGAAGAAACTAGAAAGCACTGAAGAACTTTCTACATATTATCTGTGATGGCTAATATTGAATGTTAACTTGGTTGGCTTAAAGAATGCAAAGTATTATTCCTGGGTGTGTCTTTGAGGGTGCTGACAAAGGAGATTAACATTTCAGTCAGTGGACTAGGAGAAGCAGACTCACGCTCAACCTGGGTGGGCACCATCCAATAAGCTACCAGCAAAGCTAGAATAAAGCAGGCAGGAGACGATGGAAGAGCAGACTTGGTGTGTCTTCCGGCCTTCATCTTTCTAGTGGGCTAGATGCTTCCTGCCCTTGAACATCAGACTGCAATTTCTTCAGCTTTTGGACTCTTGGACTTACATCAGTGGTTTTCCAGGGGCTCTTGGGCCTTCAGCCACAGACTGAAGGTTGCACTGTCGGCTTCCCTACTTTTGAGGTCTCGGAACTCGAACTGATCCACCACTGGCTTCCTTGCTCCTTAGCTTGCAGAACTTGCAGGCAGCCTATTGTGGGGCTTTACCTTGTGATCCTGTAACTAAATTCCTTTTAATAAACTCCCTTTCATATGTATCTAAAACAGTACATATGTATAAATCTATGTATATGACTAGTTCTGTCCCTCTAGAGAGCCCTGATGAATCATTTGGTAGTCCTAAGTAAAAAGACGGATACACTTATTGGTCAATATAAACAGCAGTCTGATAATCTACAAAACACCCTCTAACCTCTTTCATACCCAGGCTAACTCCCACCCAGCACAGTATTTTCAAAAATGGCTTTATTTCTCACTTATAAATACCAATGGACAGCTTAGCATTACTTGACCATGAGGAAAACGGATAATATAAATAATGAACAAAACCCTCCAAAATCTCTAATATAAAGGGAACTTGGAGGAAATAATGAGGAACGTGAAGACCATGTCAAGTCAAAACTATGATATTCTCTAGCAGTAAGAAAATGCATTTAATCTATTAAAAATAAACAAGCAAACAAATGAATAAAACTATTAAAAACTTACGGCTGGGTTCAGTGGTTCACATCTGTAATCCCAGCACTTTGGGAGGCCGAGGCGGGTGGATCATCTGAGGTCAGGAGTTCAAGACCAGCCTGGCCAACATGATGAAACCTTGTCTCTACTAAAAATACAAAAAAATTAGCCAGGCATGGTGGTGGATGCCTGTAATCCCAGCTACTTGCGAGGCTGAGGCAGGAGAATTGCTTGAACCAGGGAGGTGGAGGTTGCAGTGAGCCGAGATCACACCATCGCACTCTAGCCTGGGCAACTAGAATGAGACTCAGTTACAAAAAAAAAAAAAAAAAAGAAAGAAAGAAAAGAAAGAAAAAGAAACTTAGGAATTAAAATTATGATAACTGCAATAAGAACTTCAGTAGAAGTGTTGGAAGATAAAGTCAAGAAA